TCAAATACTCTCAAGATACTTTACAGGTTTTCAGTATTCTGCTGTTATTTTAAGCTTACCCTTGAGAAAAAAAAACGCGCCCTTGCCGCTAAAACATTGCAAATCTGCTGGATTGAGCTGAAGACAAATATGCAAAACAATGCTTATCACCATTAATCACTGTCTCAAAATTCCTCTTCAGACTTGTTTGAGATGTTAGAATTGTCTTTAGTCGTCTAATTAAGAAAGACGTCAAATACTCTCTAGATACTTTACAGGTTTTCAGTATTCTACTGTTATTTTTAGCTTATCCTTGAGAGAAAAAAAAACTCGCCCTTGCTGCTAAAACATTGCAAATCTGGTTGATTGAGCTGAAGACAAATATGTAAAACAAATAGAAGACAAAGCTTTACTGAATAGAAACTGACCCTTCACAATATCATAAGTAAACCTTGTACGAGTGCAATTGAAACCCTCATTGTAAACGACAAAATTTCAATGTAAACAAAATCGACACCTGGCATTTTCTTGAATGAGTTAATAAAAACGCAACAAGTAGCAACACAAACGAAGCATGTCAAATTTCAGTATATTAAGAACGAGTCTCTGTAAGAATCAAACATCTTGGGAAATGAAAATTTTTAACCCCCCTTCAAATTTTACATGCAGGTAGGCACTCAGGGGGGATGCACAAAAATGCCCTTTTTAAAGGTCGCAGCACTCTTGTTGCCATGGTAACAACGGCTGCTTGTTCGAGGCCTGGGGCCTCATTTTCATACAAAAACGTCGCAAAAAAGAATGAAATGTTTATTTCTCTATCTCAAGCTAAATACAACATTACAAATTGGCACTTCTACCATAAATAGTGACATTATTCGTCTTTACTTTGATTTATTCAATTTTCCCTGGGAGTGAATGTGAACACACCAATAGATTATTCATCTCGGTACAGTTTCGGTCATTTCTGTTGTCGGGTAAAACAGGGAAATCGTTTATCTGAATTTCTCCAAAAGTACACCAATACTGGAACTGAAACTATCCACCTAGCTGGTTATAATATTCTAGTTTTTAAATATGTAAAAATCTCTGCGGGCCTGCCTCTGCTTTTTATGGGGGCAATTCGCGAAAAAAGCTCAAAATCAGATATTGCATAATTTGGCGATGTTTACATCTAATGTTCTCAACAACAAATGTTTCAGACAAATGAAATGAGCGAGGCTTTGGAAGAATGTTATCTTATGAGTAATATCCCGAAGAGAAATCTCGCCTCTGTTTGTCATCTTTTAAAAAAAATTGATCAAACTTCATGGAGGACTACTCGACGTAACTACAAACATATACCTCAAATCGTGTGCATATTGTCCAGATTCCGAGTGCTGCACCTTCTTTCATGGGAATGTGAGCAACCCGAAGTCCTCTGAAGATACACAGATATACTTGTATGTCATTTGAAACATGTTAAAGTCGGCTGATCTACAAGTGCCAATTTGCAATGTTGTATTCAGCTTGAGATAGAGAAATAAACATTTCATTCTTTTTTTGCGACGTTTTTGTATGAAAATGAGGCCCCAGGCCTCGAACAAGTAGCCGTTGTTACCATGGCAACAAGAGTGCTGCGACCTTTAAAAAGGGCATTTTGTGCATCCCCCCTGAGTGCCTAACTGCAAGCAAAATTTGAAGGGGGGTTGAAAATTTTCATTTCCCAAGATGTTTGATTCTTACAGAGACTTGTTCTTAATACTGCAGCATAACAACGATAAAATGTGAACAGGGTAATTGTAACATTTTCATGCAATCGTTCGTTTCAATTCACAGCAAACGGAGAGGATCAACAATTCCATGTTTGTACTCTGCAATTAAATTAGGCAATCTCCTTTAATGGAACTTTATTTCTGAGCGCTCGTTGTAGACTCATTAAATCCCTATCCAAGGGAGAACGATTCATGTACTTCATGGGGTTTTGTCTTCTAAGCCGTGGGCGCGTGCTAGTAAAGAAACTTGACTTAGCTCGTTGGCGGGAAGCGGTAAATACTTCGTGGTCGCTTTTAACTTTCGCATACTTTTGTTCAAGCTCTTTCAGTTCACGCTGTAATGTTCTAATTTCGGTCAATAATTCTGGGTGTTTGTCCTTGAGCTTGCAAGAGTTGACGTCGTTACAAGGGGTTTTCTTACAATCGGTCCTATTGTGGCCGAAGGTATGGCAAAAAGTACACACTTTTCTGCGCCTGTCATTCGCAGCTGGTAAGTCTTTTAAAGCTTTTTTTTCCTCCTGTAGGTGACTTGTAGCACTTTCAACTTGCACTTCTAGAAGCGTGACGTTTTCATAAAGTTCAACAGCTCTTCGGTCTAATGGGCTTTGAGTTATTTCAGGGTTTGGCATATATGCCAACTCTCCAGGATTAATCGAGAGGCACCCAGATAAAGAGCCAATCTCCTTGTGGCTTCAGGTGACTTTTGCTAGAAAGATTTGTCAGCACTGCTTACATTTGCACATGGTGCCATATTCAGTCGCTTTGGCTCTAAATGGGGTCGACGACAAATTTACGTTTTAATGTTGTTTAGCTCACCCTCCGAGATTCTTCTTTCTGCTAAGAGCAGCTTATCAGGGGAATGGAAGGGAAGTGACCCTCGTGAATGGAAACCCCAGCTTTCAAATTGTAGCGGAAATTTTTTCCTATTACATTCCCGGAGATAAGGATATTAGCCAACAGAAAACTTCGCTTTTGTCAGCCCTTACCAACTCTTCGCTAATTCAACATAAATACAATGTGTGACCCTCGATATGAAGTGAGCTTATGATTGGACGATAACAAAAGAGCGGGAAAAAAAGTCTAGGTGTTCATGGTTCGAGTGTTTTCACTGTAAATGCATCAAGCCTTTGTCCGAAGGAAAAAATTCCGTTGGCATTCTCTGCAAGTTCAGGAGGAAGACCGGCATCTATTATTACAAAGGAAATGAACGAGCAACTGCGTGAGACTAGTTTAAAATGGAGAAGTTTAGCAACATGCCTTGGAATTTCCGACCAGAGGCGGCCCAAGAAATTAAGTTGAGTTACTTCAAATCTTAACTTTGATGGATAGATCGCACAGCAACACTTTATTTGGCCCTACACTAACAGGCTTGTTCTTGAAAAGGCAATGTAAAATAACCCCTGTAATTCCTTCCTGACCCAGTTGAAGTGTTGGCTTTACGAGCTTATTATGGACTAACTTAAGGATTTCTATGTCTACAGTCTCCACAAGGCGAGGAATTGTTTCTCCAAACGCCTCCATGGTGGTGGTCTCAACTTTTACTTCGTTCATGGCTTTAAAAAACCGACATGCACACTAAATGCTACCCTCGGTACAACATTGACCGTTGGGCCAGCAAGTAATATCAAATCACACAAGAATGGAGTTGTGATCTTGACCTACTTTTCCCTTTGGAAGAACCAATTCGTCACATGTTTGTCATTCGTCTAAGATGCGAGAAACGTACAAAACACGAAATGATTCACTATTAACATTTGATCGAGTTGTCTGAGACATTTGTTCTGATAATACTCAGAATTCTTTAAGAAGTTGACGCAGTTGCTGTTCTGATTGCTACGCCCAACTCAAGTGAACGAAGACGCCCCAAGGATGAAAGAATTTCCCGCCAAAATACACCCTGCTGACTAGCTGTTGCTCACCGGCTCAGAAAAACTAATAGATGATCTCGCATAGTGATTTCTTTCTTTCACACAAAAATTTCTGTTCTCAGCAGTTAATATTTATTTCTCGGTATATTGCTACTCAGTCTTTTTCTCGATTAAGATTTTTTCATTCTCAATTGGTAATTTAAAATCTAGCGTGAAAGTTCTTCACCCTCGTAGTGATTTCGCAATCTCGCCTATCTCTCACTGAAACCCGAGAAGGAATTTTGAACTCAACCCCCTTTTGTCATGTTTGGCTTGCCATGGTGGTGAAAATGAAAGAAAATACTCGAAATTCAGTGTGGAAGAGTGAAAAATTATTTGCGGGAGAGAGGCATTCAGCTAAGTGATGGTGGCATAGGAAACAAAAGCAAAACTGTTCGATTTAAACAAGAAAGCTGCAGCAATGAAGCAGGTCCAACTAGCTTATTCTGCCAAAGGCTGCAAAAAACTGTTGGAGGAGACATTACAAAACAAGTGAGGGCAAATTTCCAGTACCAAAAGGTTTGATTGCTCAGACCTACCACTTTTCTAACATTTCAGAGCCCTCGTTCGGCGTCTGCATGCTCACAGCCTTGCCTCGGTTGTTTTGATGTCATCATTTAACCATTGTTTTATGTATTGCTGATTCGTAGCGGTGGCTTACTATAGTTTGCGAAACGAAACGAAATTGAAATCTGTAATTTGTGAAATAAACTCGAAATCTGTAATTTTCGAAATGGAAATCTGCAATTTGAAAAACAAGAAATTTCACTTCAATATCATTCTACCATGTAGAAAGCTTAACCGCCGATAATATTGCATTACCTCATTAACTCCGTTGTAAATGAAAACCAGCCTTTAGTAAAGGCTGGTTTTCATTAACAACGGAGTTGGAGTTAGATTCGACTGCAATATTGAGTCTTCACTTGATAAGAAGTGCTTTTACCACTCCGACTCCGTCGCTGGTGAAAACCAACCTCGAACAAATTGAAGAAAAGGATATCCCAAAAAGATTATTTCCTTTTTTCCATAGTTTAGGGATGAACCATGGGCAAGGACTGGAAGAGCATTTGCAATACAATTCATCCAAGGTCAAACATAGTGGAATCCATCGAGCTACATACACATTTCTTAAGTTTCCAATCAATTAAGACATTTGTTAAATAAAATCATTATTTACATTCGATTGTACGGATATTTTGAATAACACTAAAAATAAAAAGTTAGAGGCAAATGAGAATCTTTATGAAGAAAGAAACTTTTTCCGCGTTTGTGATTGCTAGATAATTTCTCTTTTTTTTCTCACGAAAACTATTTTTTCTTTTTTTCTTATTGGAGAGTAGGCGACAATTTGCAAAGTACGAAAATGTTGAAACCCAACAACAAAGCCGAAAAGGAAGAGTCTTATATAAATCTTGGCATTTTCCATCAAAAATCAAGGGATTTTCATAAGGCCATCGAATACCATGCGCACCATCTGCTAACTGCAAAAGAAGTGGGGGATAAAGCTAGAGAAGGATGGACTTACGGAAAACGTGGCATTGCCAACTATAACTTACGCAATTTTCAAAAGGCAATCCAGTACCATGAGCGTCATCTAGAAATTGCAAAAGAAGTGGGGGATAAAGATGAAGAAAGAAGGGCCTATAGAAATCTTGGCATTGCCTATCAGAAGTTAGGCAATTTTCATAAGGCCATTGAGTACCACGAGCGTCATTTAGAAATAGCAAAAGAAGTGCAGGATAAAGCTAGAGAAGGACGAGTCTAGCAAAAGAAGTGGGGGATAAAGATGAAGAAGGACAGGCTTATGAAATTCTTGGCAATGCCTATCAGGGGCTACGCGATTTTAATAAGGCGATCGAATACCATGAGCGTCATCTAGAAATTGCAAAAGAAGTTGGGGATAAAGCTGGAGAAAGACGGGCTTATGGAAATCTTGGCATTGCCTATCAGGAGTTAAGCGATTTTCATAAGGCCATTAAGTACCACGAGCGTCATTTAGAAATAGCAAGAGAAGTGCAGGATAAAGCTGAAGAAGGACGAGCCTATGGAAATCTTGGCAATGCCTATCAGGGGCTACGCGATTTTAATAAGGCGATCGAATATCATGAGCGTCATCTAGAAATAGCAAAAGAAGTTGGGGATAAAGCTGGAGAAAGACGGGCTTATGGAAATCTTGGCATTGCCTATCAGAGGTTAGGCGATTTTCATAAGGCCATTGAGTACCACGAGCGTCATTTTGAAATAGCAAAAGAGGTGCAGGATAAGGCTGGAGAAGGACGAGCCTATGGAAATCTTGGCAATGCCTATCAGGGGCTACGCGATTTTAATAAGGCGATCGAATACCATGAGCGTCATCTAGAAATTGCAAAAGAAGTTGGGGATAAAGCTGGAGAAAGATGGGCTTATGGAAATCTTGGCATTGCCTATCAGGAGTTAAACAATTTTCATAAGGCCATTGAGTACCACGAGCGTCATTTAGAAATAGCAAGAGAAGTGCAGAATAAGGCTGAAGAAGGACGAACCTACGAAAATCTTGGCAATGCCTATCTTGGGCTACGCGATTTTAATAGGGCGATCGAATACCACAAGCGTCATCTAGCAATTGCAAAAGAGCTTGGGGATGAAGCTGGAGAAAGACGGGCTTATGGAAATCTTGGCATTGCCTATGATAACTTAGGCGATTTTCAAAAGGCAATCCAGTACCATGAGCGTCATCTAGAAATAGCAAAAGAAGCGGGGGATAAAGATGAAGAAGGAAGGGCTTATGGAAATCTTGGCATTACCTATCATGACTTAGGCGATTTTCATAAGGCCATTGAGTACCACGAGCGTCATTTAGAAATAGCAAAAGAGGTGCAGGATAAAGCTAGGGAAGGACGAGCCTATGGAAATCTTGGCAGTGCCTATCAGAGGCTACGCGATTTTAATAGGGCGATCGAATACAATGAGCGGCATCTAGAAATTGCAAAAGAAGTTGGGGATAAAGCTGGAGAAAGACGGGCTTATGGAAATCTTGGCCTTTCCTATTATGACTTAGGCGATTTTTATAAGGCCATTGAGTACCACGAGCGTCATTTAGAAATAGCAAAAGAAGTGCAGGATAAAGCTGGAGAAGGACGAGCCTATGGAAATCTTGGCAATGCCTATCAGGGGCTACGCGATTTTAATAAGGCGATCGAATACCATGAGCGTCATCTAGAAATAGCAAAAGAAGTGGGGGATAAAGATGAGGAAGGAAGGGCTTATGGAAATCTTGGCATTGCCTATCATGACTTAGGCGATTTTCATAAGGCCATTGAGTACCACGAGCGTCATTTAGAAATAGCAAAAGAAGTGCAGGATAAAGCTGAAGAAGGACGAGCCTAAAAGCCTAAAAGAATAGCGAGCCTAATAGCCAAAAGAAGTGGGGAACAAAGCTGGAGAAGGAGGGGCATATGGTAATCTTTGCAATGCCTATCAGAGCTTTGTTAAACCTAAAGTTTTCCCGAAAAAATCAAAGGATAAATTTTTGTTTCGTCTGTTACATCCATATTAAAAATTTCACAGCCGTAGAATTCTGTCACCGCGTGACCTAGCTTGCCAAAGGATTCCACCTCCAATTTTCAGGATTTATTCTAAGCCGTTTTAAAATTTTAGAATCCCAGAGTTTTGCAACAAAAAACAATTTTTGCCTCTCTGGTAAACTGATTTCAGTTCAATTACGCGCTGGTCATAGCTTTTGCAACAATTGATTGTCAAGTTTATCACGGTTTTGTTTAGTAAGTCGATTTTGTCCAGTTTTTACGCGGGACAAATTTTTCCGTGATGTATTTCAAGATTTGTTTGTTCAGAATTTGTTTAAGTAAACAACTTTTCCGCTAGTGCGGAAAGGCCCTATGTTGAACAAATTTGATTGAACAGGTATTGGGAATTAAGTGGTAGTAAAATGTGTGTTATATTGTGTACTGAAAACAAATACCTCAAACAAATAATTTTCCTAGCCATTGAAGAGGATGAGGTACCTTATTACACCGTCAGAAAAAAATTGGCGGATAAAAAAGATTCTACAGTAGACTATGAAGAAAATAAAAAGACTTTGATCAAAAGGTATGTTTTTCGCAATAACTCAGTTGTTTACCTATCCCTTGTTTTTTGTTTTTTATTTTCAGTGTTTCCATCAATGAAGTGGTACTTAGTCATTATAAGGAATGATAGTGAATCATTTAAATAAATGTTTTGATTTATGATTCTCATTTGAGTCTATTTGAGTCAAAGAAAAATAAATTGATGGAAAAATTTCTTAGCACAGCTGGCTAAATAATGTTAAAGCCATTTTTTAATTTTGTGTAAATTGGGTTTTTGAGGAACAACCTTTAGGATGTTCATATATTACAGAATTTCTTATTATGTTCATCTAGCAATTTAGTAAACCAGAGCAGGAATCTCAATTTACTATTGGGAGTAGCCAATTCAAAATATTTTTTTGTATCTTATACTTTAATTACTGACTGACACAAAATTAGAGAAAAAGAACAGTTATTCGATTTAGTTTTGAGGTTAAATGCCAATTATTTGAATGACTCTTTCAAACTGCAAGTTTGCGACTCGCATTTTAAATGCCTTTGTAATGCTTACTCCACTTGGGAAAAATTATCTTTAAATACTGAATGATTAATTTTCCTGTGTATTTCAGAGGAAAACTTGGAGGTGAGGAAGACACATGGCACCTGAGGGAAGCTGGCGCCTCTATCAAACTTAACAGTGGAGCTGTCCAACAACCTGTGCCATTTACATGTAGATGCTTATTGTGGAACCCCAGGACCCTCTCCCCACCCCTTGCCAGTGATGAGATATTGGTTAGCAGTGTTATTGAACTATCTCATGATGGCCCACCAGATCTGGAATACAGGGAAAGTGTTGAAGGATTAAGTTTTACTGTAGCTTTGTTGCACAGTGCCCCAAATTTGGAGGGGTATGAGGTGGTTATCAAACAACTGATTGACCAAGAGAACAATGAATGGAAGGAATTGAAGACAGAGAATACTTGGCATGGATCAGGTAACGTTATGTTGTTATTAAATGCAGGTGTAAATAACTTAATGGATGATATTCTCAGGCTCCCTTCTCCACTGGCATCAATATCAGTATCTGAGCAATGGTAAACCTCCCCCTCTCCTGACCCAAAATTAATCCAAACTTGTAACTTGAACTTATCAGTTGGATGTTGTTGGCTTAGGGGAGGAGTAGATGTGCAATGACTCAGATACTGATTTTGATCCCAGCAATGCGTGGCCTACTGCACTCTTACTGTCAAAATATACTTCTTGCCACTTCATATGCGTCACAAATCCAATGGCTTTTTTAAAACTTTTTTTTCGTTTTACCAGTAGTTGCATCCAAGCAGTACGTGTAATTGTTGCATAAATGTTACGTGAAGTTTACAATGCATTTTAGTCACTATGATATAAATTTTTCTCAATCACCATGTTCTTGCAAACTTTCTTCTTTGAAGCGTAACTATTCTCATGATATCTGTTGGGGGCAACTTCATTGTTTGAGGACTTTAAGACACAGCTGAAGGGCGTAATTTCAACCATCATTTTTATTTTCATGCAGAAACTTCAACAGTTCCCAGGTGGCTTTTCCCATTTGCACAAGCTGTTTGTTCAAAATCAGGAGTTTCTTCATTTGCTGCAATCTGGCGTCCTAAGTCTTTCACCTTTTCAAGAGGTACTGCAGTAGGTCCGGAATTGACCTGTATCGTGCCTGACTTTCCTGATGTCAGTGTTCAAATTCCTCAGAGTTGTGTTCCTGTTAATCAAGATTTCTGTGTGACAATCCAGGTACATTAAACTATATAATTATATACATGGATGAATAAAACCTTTTTCAGTTTTGAAAGTAACATATAAGATTGGTGTGAGGGGATTGTCAAAAGCAAGGAGATAGCATAAAGGTGCTATAAGAGTACAGCCTGTACCTTCAGTTACTTGCAATACACTCCATGAGCTTAGTGGCAATATTGATGGAGAGATATCAATTAACAATTTTAAGCTAAATACAAGACAACTGTGCATGTATCTACATGTGTGTGAGGATACATACATGAAGTAATGTTCTAATCAGTAGTTTTGGTAACTATGAATTATTTATGGTACTTACTGTGCCCGAATGTACTCATGAATCCAAGCAATCCCCTTATTAAAAACTGGATTTTGGAAAACTCGCTTCAAGCAACAGAACATTTGTTTTTGTTTCGCTTCAATATAAACTTCAAGTTCAAATCATTCCTGTCAGTTGAATTGGTTATGTGGTTTGTATTGGTTTGCAATTAATGCAATTAGTGGATGAAGTTGAGCATGAAATCATGCATTATCAAAACCAAGGTTTGAGTTATCTGCCAAAGCTGAAGATCACGCAGACATAAGGTTTGATAAAAGAAGACACCTCTCTAAATTTTAAAAAGTTTAAGAACTCTACACAGACAGAGGGCGTTGGAAACTAGGCAGAGGTTGAACTCAACATGATAACTGCAATTTCTGCTGCAGATATTGGGTTATCATGTTAACTTTACGCATTATTGTTTTTTCATTGAATGCTCTTGACTAATCAGATATTTTATAGTAAGTTCAGTGTATAGTTTTTTTAATAATAGTGCTTATATTAATGTTACATTAAACTTTAAGAGGACATTTATATTGTATACTATTATTAGATAATTGAATTTCATCCTGTAATTCACTTTTCATTTCGTAAAGGATGCAAATGAACTTTATGCTGGGAGTAGTTTAACATGTCCAACATAACCTGTTTTGCTTTTGAATCAAGGTACAAGAATTTCCAAGCAGTAAGTTAAAAGGAGAGGAAGGACTTGTCGGTCCAGTTCTGCACATTTCAGGCACTCAAAATGTTACTCTCATCGCGCCTGTAACAATTAGGATTCCTCTCACCCTCTGTAAAGGAAAACAAGAGTTGGCAGAGTTATGTCCTGGTGAACTGAGAATATTACACTCTGAGTCTCTCGCCGAACCACATGACTGGAAAGACATCACAGATCAATTGGATGAACCGCCACGTCTTCTAGATGGGAAAGTGCAATTCAAAGTTAGGCATTTCTCCGGGTAAGTATTTCTTGTCGGCTTTATTTGAAAAGTAGCACGCAAGACGCAGAGGAAATTTAACAGTATTTTAGTGTACAGTCATACATGCATGTATTTATTAATAAAATATAGATTAAATTATTGAAACGATTACTGGAGTACGTACACTCAAGGTTACTGTGCAATGGCTGTTCATCATTTCCGTTTGGTTGCTTGAGCTGTATTTGGTTTTTCCTTTTATTTGATAGATTCCGCCCAATCAAGTTGATCAGATTACTTTCACAATCTGCTTCAGACTTCAATAAGTTTGTAAGAAAACTTTGCAAAAGGTCGAGGCCTCAGTATGCCCGATTTTTTACGTGCCTGTGTGAGACCAGTGTTCGTGGACATTTTGGACTCAAACTTTTCTGCTATCCACAAAAACTGCAACATGATGTAAACCAGCAAATATCAAAGTGTATCGTGCCCTACATAGGCGAAGGCACCTCTTTAAAACCAATCTGTGAAGAGGAGAAAATTTTGGTTTCTCTTTCTGAGGCAATCATACCCCAAGGCTCAGACGAGAAAAATGCCTTACAATTTGTGAGGTATAATCATATAATTTATTTTTGCCCCATCAAGTTCATAGGATTTAATTGAATACTTCGAGATACAGTCATGCTAGTTAGAAATGATTTATTTATTCCATTGTAAAATTGTCCATTGTTCAATTGTCAGTTAATTATTTTTCGCTATGGCTTTTCTAGGTTTCTTATCAATCAATAGGGCCATGAAGGTATACATTTTGGTTTTGTTTCGGCGTGATTGTCTTCAAATGCTCGTTTTCAAAGATTCAGTAGGGCTCTCGTCAAATATGCTGTCATTTTCGATTGTAAGCGTGTACTTTTCTACACAAAGACTCGGCTGGTGTAGTGTACGTTGGGTTTGTCTCATTTAAATTTCATTTTATTTTCAACAGATTCCGCGAGAACGAAGTTTATGACACAGGTGGTGAAGTTTGTTTAGGAAGTGTGAGTGTTCCAAAAGTGAAGTTTAACAACCAAAGTCAGGAACTTTTGTGCAACGTGACCATGGTATTGGCATCTCAAGTAAGTGACATTTTACGGTTCGTGGATTTGCTACTTAAATGCACTTTTAGCCCAGAGTTAATATATTACTGATGCCAACCTTACTATAGTATATGACAGTGAACTAAAAGGATTAACAACCCTGTAACGAAAGGCAGCCCAAGCTCCACATGTGAAATGATCATCATGCCAAAATAGAGTCATGGCGAAAATATGAGTTTGTATGGGAATAATAACGACCGCTCTTGGGAAGTAAAACTACACTCAAATTCTCAATAAAAATATCTCACCTTACTTCCAAACTGCATTGCTTGTTGTCTCACCGCTTACCATGTTGAAAAGAAGCAATTTTAGCAAGTTCTCCATCTCTAGGCTTCTTACTCCTAGGAATGGTATATTTTCGAGAGACACTAAATTGACAGCATGAGTTCTCGATGCACTGATATAAATGTGTTTACCCTTCCTGTAAACATTATTGCTTGCTAATATTTCTTATACGCTCAATATGAAATTTAACATGACTGGGATAACCTTTGGTGTATTCATTATATCAAAACAAATCCAGCAAATACCTAGGAAAATAAAGCGGCCACACTAGGATCCGGCCTTCCGGTCTTTTGATCAAGTTTTTTTTTAAATACCAGTAGTAATCTGGAAAGGGAGAGGTTAAATAAGCACTGCTGAGTCGATAACAGTCTTACAAATTCGCCATCTAAAGGTTTCCGAGTAAGATAATGAGGTTATTTTAAGGCGGCACGGGCCATATAGAGGACGAATCACTGGAAACAAAAGACTGAAGAATGTCGAATAGGTAAAGAAATGTCCTGTCCACAGGACGCAGCGTATGAACATATAGGACCTTGTGATTTTTTTTTATTAAGTGTACTATTTTTATTTTTCAGTTGCTTTGAAGTCACTTTCTATGCCTTTTTACTTATTTATTTTTCCTTTTTCTTATTATTTAGTAATTTTCTTTATTTCCTCATTTCTATTCACTTCATGTGCATCCGTAACATTGCGAATTTTCCTCCCTTTAGGTTCCTGTAACCGTTGATCATGAAGAAGGAAGTGACTCCCTTCGAGGTAAGTTGTTGTTTTTTTGTTGTTGGTTTCGTTGTTTTTTGAATAAATACAATTTACTAGACCAGTCATCATTGTTCTAAAATGTGCAAACTTAGAAATGCAGACTCTGTGGAATTTGAAAATGTAGTATTTAGTGATGAAGCAACGTATTTCAACGCAAAGTCATAATAACCTGCCTTACCTCATGTATTAATAAATCGGGTCGTGCCCGCCTCACGCTCAAGAGTGATGGCTTATTATCTCTGTTACGTATCAGTAAACTCAATGCATACGTTTACGGCGCGTGTGTCCTTTCTTGTAGAGAGTTGGATACTGCAAACGAGTAAAGCGCCAAAAGGCTCGGGAAAGACACAAAGAAGTGTAATTCTCCAAAACATTATTCCTTTGGCTATATCGTTAAAGTGATGGAGTAACTAGTGAGAAATCCTTTGCAACCTTCCACGGCTTTTCAAATGAAACCTTGGATCGAGATGTTTCCTTACAACAGCCTCCTTCGTCAAATTTGTCAATGCTTATTGTTACTTAAAAGAGAAATCGACAAAACTTACTACTCGAAGTTGTGAAGGCTAGGTATTACCCTGATGATCACAGTCCAGGATCACCACATCATCGTTTCCGAACCATCGACATTATAAAACTTGCATTAGTTCTCAACCCAGCCATCTTATTAACCCCATTATTCTGCAGGTATTTCTGCCCAAAGTGTGAAACATTCAATTGTAAAGCATTCAAATGTAGAATCATCGTCATGCAGCCTTGTTGCGGCTTCTGGGAAGAGGAAACAATGTACGTAGTACCGAGATTGAAAATGTTGCGATGGATTTTCCTTTTTATTGTATTTTTTCAAGTTTGCATATTGCTGTTACACGTTTATCTATGGTAAAATTTGTTTATGCAGAAAGACTGGCATTATATTTATTAGACATCCTTTACACCTCCTTATAATGCGAAGATTATAAAAGATAACGAATTAAAACTGGGCTCTCTCACTAATCCAACATCCGTGTACCCTGAACAACTATCACCTATTCCAGCATTAGCGACTGGAGACTAGTTAGGACACGTTGTTAATGACCTCCATTTTCAAGATGCTTGTCGGGTCATACGAGGCCAGAAATAAATAATGAGTCCGGAAAACTTTCTCAGCGTTTTTCTTTGATGGGTTGGGAAAATGGTTTCCCTGCTGCTGCAAATGTCTCCTCTCCCAGGCGTGACAGTCTTTAAGGCCAACGATTCGGTATTGAATGATACCGAAAAGAGAAATCGCCTTTCGCTACAACTGCTCGCTTTTCGCCAAAGCCTTGAAGCACCCCTTTCCTAATTTTTTAATTCTCCCTCAATTGTTATTCTCAGATATCTATATGGTTAAAGATGGTAAACCATCAGATCGCGAGTTAGAAGAGCTGTCTCTGAAACTTGGAAAAAAATGGAAGGAATTGGGAAGCTGTCTGGAATTCGACGACGCTGCAATAACTAACTTGGATGAAGACAATAAGGAGTTGGCAAGGAAGGCTTATCGTATGTTATTGGCTTGGAAACAAAGAGAAGGCTTCCAAGCCACTTACACAGTTTTGTACAATGCCTTGTGTGACAAATTGGTGGAATGTAAACTTCTAGCAGAAAACTTTTGTTGTATTCTCCTTAGTCTTATATTATAAAAAGTGAGTCGTTAATCTACAGGGGTGTAGCTACTTGTACGCACGGTACGCACGTGCGTACTTAAAAAAGTCGAAAGTAAAAAAATAAAATACAAAAGTGAAAAATAACAAAAAAGCAAAAAAGAGATAATTGTTTTAAGAAAGCAGTTTGCCTCAACTCATTTAACTGCGGTTGTTTTTTTATGTTTTTTTAAATGTATTTTTTCTAAATATAATTATCGATTGTCTTTAAGGTGCTGCAGTCAATGCATCGAAAAAGGCGACAAAAAATTTTACAACTTAGTCATCATTTCATAGACAGTAAAAACGTTAGGCTCACAATGTAACCTCGCCTTTAGTCAAGTCACCTGAAAAGGATTTGGGACTTAGGGGTTGGGGGTGGGAGGGATTCGAATAATTATGGATACCTCTCGAAAACTACTGGCTACGCCCCTGCTCTAGTACGTCATATGTCTTTGTGAGTACTCCAAAGAGCGTTTGTTTCGAGCATTCGCGCTCAGTAAGTCGTTCACTTTGTCTTGCGCTTGAATATAAGGAGAAAATTAGCTTTAGAGTATAGATATTTATTCGTATTTTTGCAATCAAGAAACGCTGGCCAAAGAACATTGAGGTCGGAATTCACTTAGATGTCCAGCACATGTTATGCACATTACCACCCTGAAGCATCTTATTTAATTCCTCACAGCTTAAAATTAGAATGCATTTTCTCCTCACTGTTCTCTATGCATTTCCTAAGGAACGGACATAAACAATTGTTTTAACAGTCAAGAGCTTCCTAAGTTGGTGTTCAGTTACTTTATTCTCGTGTTCTTAATTTCTGATTCAGGACTGTAAGGAGGAAAAGATGCAAGACACTGTCTGAGTTGAATTAATCGTTTGTGGTGAGCTTGAAGTAACAGCGTAATTTTTCATAGAATGAGGTTCCCCTTGTCCTTGTGTGGTGAATAAGCATAAAACATATAATGGCCTTATTATAGAATAAAATTTGTAGATACTGAGCTGTCATTTTGATCTTAAAAAGTGTGAAAGGTCAAGAAAAATCAAATACACAACTCTTCCTCAGGCTTAACCCCCATGATTCTTTGTGGTTTATGGAGGTTTCGCCCCATTGAAAGTTCAACAATTGACAAGTTTACCCCTGCTACGACGAGTTCCCTTTTGTTCCCTTCAAATATGATATAGATTTATATAGCAAAGCCTAAAAGTAGAGCTCCAGTCAGTTTATTTTCCATCCCTTCAACTTACTAAAACTCCTAAGCACTGGTTGTCGTAGACTTAACGAGATGCTGAACGGAGGGACGCTATTCTCACAACTTGCAAAGCGATCAACATATCAACATGCATGCTAGTCAGCAGTATTTTCAAGCAGCTGAAGACCTTTGTTGATGTAACTAATTGTTGAACGGATTGTCCAGGATTTAGAATGTTTTCTTCAGATGTCATGTATTATTTCAGTATCGGTTGAAGTGATATTTTATTGCGCGTGTTTGTTAATTTCGGTTTAGATTGAAGGAAACGACGGTAAACGCTTCGAGTTAAGATATGGATATCACCGGTCGATTGAAATGTTTACACTCGGGATGATTATTCAGTGAAACAATGTGCTAAAATCGTATTAGCATCTCATAAACCTCTGGATGTCGCCATTTATGACTGATTACTTCAGTGATTTTTCTCTAACGTGTCAAACTCCTCTAATAAGCGTTGAAAATTAAAAAGAAAATTCACTTTTCAACTCTTGTTTATGTTTAAATTCTCCTCTTTCAACTGCTCTGGCCAGAAATAGTTCTACTGTAACTGCATATATCAGTGTAAATGTCTCTAAACCAACTGTCCTCTATCTTGGCAACTCTAGCCACTGAAATACTAAAGTTGTCTACCATCTGTTTAATTTCTTGCACTGTGAAAGTTTGATTTTAACGAAGGCAAGCTAGAACTGGAATATATTTTTACACTACAGAAATTGATTCAGACATCAATCGAGTTTTGTATTAAGTTTTAAAGTTGAGTCGTTGTTGTTACTGACCCATAAGGAGGAATTTATAATTCAGAAACAATTCCGACAGCTTGTGAGAGATGGAAAATTATCAGCTGTCATTGGGAGAAAGAAATTAACAACGATTCAAGAGTCAATGCTTCTCCTTTGTGGTACAATGGTGAAAAACTTATCAACTTTTCTGCAATTCCTGCAACAGAGGCAGAATTCGTGTGGGAGAGTAACACAAAAATAGTTGAAGATCGTTTTCTTTCTTCTCATTTATAAAGACACTTTTTTGAAAAAGGAACAAATCAAGGTACACCACAACTTCTTTGCGAAAAAATACGATATTGATACTTGAAAAATCTTCACTCGAACAGTCAACAAGTTTGAGTGGTTGATTCAGGCGTTATGATGCGTGATGAAGCAAAGGCATGACTTTAGAATTTCACACAGAATAACTTGTAAAATTTCAAAATGTTTTAAAACCAGTGTTAATGACTTTAAACTCAACAGATTGAAAGTTGCGTGAAATGTATTTGAATTTCACAGGGGTCGCTCCGTGAAATTTAAATGAGCCAGAACCCTCTTTTTGTAACTACTCATGTTTGTTTCAATGTGAACCTCTCCACCTGCTCACTCAAGGGCGTTTCTTCGTCTTGATTGGCTAGCATTCACTAGGTAGCTGATGGTGCAAATAACTTAATTTTCGTCGGCCGCTTAATTGCCCCAATTGACTTGTCGGATTACAAGTGTTTGTAATCGGACAGTTTGGACTTGAAACAACCAATTAGTCCACAAATTAGGCCTGTTAATAACCACTTAACATATTCGTGTAATTTTTAGTTGACACAGGTAGAATGATAATCTTAAAGCTTTATGATTAAAAACGAAGCCACGCGTATTTGTGCTCATCATTTATTTAAAATCTTGACACGCCTGCGGCAAGAAACATGAGAAAAAAAAGGACAAAAAAGAGAGTGAAAACTTATGAATAAACTCAAAATAAAGAAAAATGTTTACCCTAACGGTACATAGCTTTACAAGCATTTAAAAACGACGAGGCTGCTTCTAAAGAGTGGACATAAATATTCATCTACAGGACTAAAAACATGACTAATTGCTTGACATAAATTAAGTAACAAAACACAACGATATAAACATCGAGTTCAAGTACACAACGCAATTAATGAAACATCCAAACACTAACAGGTAATTAAAACCCAAACGCGATACGCACTGGAAACGCTGTAAAGGCGTGTGAAGGAGGAGAGCCGGTTAACGGCAAATACTGGCTACAAAGTAATAGGGAAAATGATTGAGATAGGTGCAAAAATGGTTGCGGCAAGGATGCGTTATTTCCAGAAAGAGAAGGAAAGGGCGGAGTTTGCCCTAGATGGCCAATACTGAGACGGGCTCAAAACAACAGATATCAATGTCGCGATATTGTGATGAGTCGTTGATAAATTCAACAACCGGCTAAACAAAGTCAGGTGGAAAAGTTTTGTGCCACACAAGTATTTCACACCAAGTTTACTGCAAACGTGGCAATTATTCCACGGACCATGCCTTTAGAAAAGCTTTCTATCTACCACAACTTTGTTTCAGTTTTTTCTTTTCGGTTTTGCCTTCAGGACAGGCCAAATCCTGCTGTGAGAAGAATAAATTTCGCTACTAACTGACAAATGACAAAACTTTAAAAAAATTAACCTTTCATAAGATTTTCCTTTCTCAGGTTTCTTCAATTTGGTGTTTCCCAGAATTTTGTAAGCGTTTTTAAGAAAGCTGTACGGTCTGTTTGTTTGATTGTCCGCTAGTTCTTATCACAGAAACAAGTGATTCCGAACTTCCGGATGTAGCACAATTCATTTCCGCTTTGTTGCTCTCAACCAACTTATTACCCAAAATACATTAAGCGTTCTTTAAGATGGTGGACGAAAGAGAGTGAGTATTTACCTGAAACAGTGAGCTCAAAGGGAAAAGGTTACAGGAGAATCTCTTTTGCGGATTGCAAAACAGAGGTGAGATTTTAGTCGACACATGTGTTCACTACGCTGAAGTAGTACTTGTAGTTAACACAAGTAAGTGCGTTTTAATAAAGTCAGGTTCAAGATTGTCCAAGACCTGGCTATTCAAATGCTGGTGCACGTCGCCGTTAGGGGTTGTAGCTAGGGATTGTTCCAGTTTATGCTTACATTTCTTTTTCTGCAGAGCATCGCATTGGTAAATAACCCAGTAGGAAAGTTATTATAAACCTATAATTTAAAAAAAAAAAATACATCGAAGGCACTTGAGGTTTGGTTTGTTTATTTATAATTAAGCTTACATGTACATAGTGTTAAGGATTTACATTTGTTTTTATCCACGGAAAAATAGCGATTACATGTAGCTATTGCTTAAAATGAATTCCTTAGAACAAATTTATCTTCAGGTTTTTTTTAAATTATTTTTTGACTTGTTTTAATATTCGTTTTTTTTCAATTTACTCTCCAGCATAATGCAACTTGTGGTTAAGTTAATAAGGTGTAGAATGGATTTTTTGGCTCACCAGTGAAATGAAACAAAAAAAGTCAAGTGAAAGTCATATTCATTTTTGATGACAGCATATCAAATGATCACAGCATGATAAAGGTGTGATAAAAGTACAACTAAAGAGTAGCCACATGTCAGCTGTTAAAGCACTATAATGGTGGTATGATCTCGGGGAAGATTTGTTTGCTGCTGCACTTTGGGATTACAGAGAGTAACTTAACTGTTCAATATGTGTCTTCTTCTGAGTTTCAAATTTGGCAAAGGGTGCAATTTCGCCCTCTGATATGACTTACCTTAAAAAGAAATTAAGGGAACTATAAGAAATAAATAAAATGTACTGTTGCTGCCAAAAATCACATTGACAAAATTTATTTTAAATTCATACATTTTTTCTTCCTATAAAAATTTCATTAAGCTCTTTTGTTTTCAAGTCTGTTACTTTCACCGATTTTCTGTACACTTTTTTTTTGCTTAATTTACCTATGTTTGT